TGACTTTTACGTGTTCGATAAGGTGCCGACATGGGTCTGAACATGAGTGTCTGGGTCATTACTCGGAATTGCAGAAATGCTTGAAATGGTATACGGATAGAAAGATGTGAGCAAGATGGATTTAAAAACTATGTGACTTAAAAAGTACGGTGAATGCGAGGTATCAGCCACCTTGATCTCGGATCAATGATCCCTCGTTTCCCGATAACGAGATGGACCTGTATGTAAGTTCTGTTCATCTACTTCATTTGTCCACACTCTGGGCACATGCTACACGCATACAGGAAAGTCCAAATATGCAGTCTGACTAGGCCGTTTGTCCGCTTCCAGTGTGTCTTATGACACATACCGACTGACGTCTTTATAACTGCCATGAGGAGTGATTATCATAGGTCGGTGAAAAAGATTCGAATGCACATGAAAGTTCTTGGCCAACATGATCAAATATATATTGGAGGGACAAGTCTGCCCTCTTCCCTGAACCCATCTCTTTGTCCTAATCACTTGTTGTCTAGCAATATCTGCGAGCACCGAGGTGACAGAAGCACCAAATTTTGGTCTTGAGGCATTTGTTAAAAGGTTTTACCTCCCTATGGGGACAGTTTTAATCCTATTAGACAGTGATTTATATGAAAATGGAAGAAACAGTTGCAAAAATGCTGAGCGAGTGGAATTTTAAAGTTAGAAAAAACCCCCTCCTCATTTATCGGTGAATAGCCTTTAATTTAGCAAAAAGCAGATTTCGAACTTCCATGAGATTTCGCAACAATTCGCTATCCTTATCTCCAGGATATGCAAGTGGACCATTTCCGGGTTTGGGATAGTCAATCTAGTGAATTGTTTGCATCTTCTTTTCACTTGCGAAGTTGCAAATAATCAATCATTTTTCCCGCGAAATGGAATTGGAGAAAAATTGTGCGGTGATCAGATGAGAAGGTAGTGTATGAGAAAACGACTGACTAGCGTGAGGGTGTGCGTGTGAGTATGTAGTGAATAAAGTAATAGCTTGTACGAGTCACGTGGGCAATGGCACACGTGAGGGTATTGAAGGTGAGGCACTTTTAAATAGTGAAATAATAAAAAAATAGAAAGAAGGAGAATTCATTAACACATCTCGACCAGACTCTATGGCTAGATGGGCCAAAAAGCTGTACAGCAACGCATTGTCATAACGACCATAACTTAAGTTGAATTTCAGAAAAACGCAGGAGAGTCTCACTAAAGCAAGATAAGTTTACAAAGCTGAGTAGATTTTTTGTCTTAGACAATGGCCCCACAAACTCCCCACCTCAGGTTTCCAACATTGGTCTACTCTCTGCTTCCCCAATCACAATTTGTTCAATTTTCGGTTAGCATATTTCATTTGCATATCACAGCTGAGGCTGGCATAATTGCTGTGTATTTTTTTGCGGTGACACCAATGTTGAGGGCAATCACAACTTGGCATTATATCAGAACTAGAGTACCCAAATTGCTTTGTGACTTTAATAGTTCACGCAAAGGACAAATCAGTGCTTCAACTTTTGTTAATGAGTTCGCGTCGAGAAGATTGTATTTTAATGAGGTGGCTTTAATGTACTTTTGGGTCATTTTAAGAACATAGAAATGAGTTGATTAAGCAATAGATCAGTTTAAGCCTTCGAATTGAACTGAAAGATGCATAATTGTTAAGCTTGTGTACATGAATTAAGAGGGTCTGCTGAACTCAAAGACTAAATTACCTTTATTTACTCTGTCCTGGAATTGGTGGATCGGTGGAATCTTTTGAATGAAGAAAAGCTGGAGGAAAGGTAGACATGCAGGGTACAAGTCAGTCCTCCTAAAATAAAAATACTTCTCTTCTTATCTATCGAAGATTAGTAAAAGGCAACACTAATAGTGTTTAATTATTTCTAAAGCGTGTACAGAAAAGGTCAACGTGGTTTGAATGGCCAATCAATGACCTAAAATTTAATTAATGTGCTCAGAAGACATTCTAGAAAATTGAGATTCAAGCCACATTTATATAGTGCATATTTTATTCTGCTTCGAATAGAAATTATTTAACCTTCCAGAAGTGAGTGGCCAAAAGGAATTTCCTCCGGAATGAAAATTTAAGCAAGTAGCATTTAAGTTTCAAGTTTGTAAAATCAGAGGACATGGGTTCAATTCCCATGGGCAAGCACTCAGTGAGTGGAATGGCCAAGACCATAGCTCAAGTCTGACAGAATAAAATTTTTTGGGAATACGAGTTCCTCACTAGAAAATTGATTGAAGATAAGCTTTACTGGAGGTCAGCGCTGAAAAGAGATTAATAAATTCCATTGATAGCCATTTTAATGCGAAATATTAGAATGAAAGCGAGGAGTAAGTGAATGAAGGTTTGACAGGAATTATCGCTTTATTAATATTCAGAAGTGCAAAAAAGTGACGTTGAATAATTGGGATCTGATTCAACTGCCTTTTTGACCATATCTTGAAGCAGGTCGATCAGAACGTCAGAAATCGACACATAAGATATCCCAGCACCATAGATGAAGGTTAGCTCACTAGAAACGCCTTTATTTCTTCTTCTGAATACGTAAATTTAGTCATCACCAAATTCAGAAAAATCGTTAGTACTTAAATCTATAAGCTAGTAATTATTTCAGAACTTTCGCGTTAATTATGTTATAGCAAGTATTTTAGAAATTGATATCTTAATAACTCTAACTAAAATGTCTATTCTGGCTTTGCTCCACAGAGTCTAAAAATTAAAGACTTTTTGCTAATTCGTGTGATAACGAATCAAGATTGTAAATGAAAAAAAGAGTGAAATTCCTTGTTTTCAGGAAGTATTCAAAGAAGACATAAGCAAAATGAGGTGATGGAAAATAATCGCATTACAACTGAGGATCTAGCTTGCACGAATTTTTGCATATGATCATACATAGTTAACCTTTGAACCCAAATGGTTCTTTCGATTCTGGAATTGGCCAAAGTGTTGCAATGTTCCCTTTAGGCAATGCTATGCCCAGATTTCTGGACCAATTAAAGATAGCTTCACTCTGGGGTGGGAGGGGGAGGACTTTAATCACCTTTTTTACTTCAGTGATCCACATCTTTCAGCAACAGCCAGTTCGGCAACTTTAGAAGGAGATATTTTAGAAAATGTTAATTTCATTCGAGTTCAAAGAAAAAATTACCCCTTTTCGCATATTCTAACTTGGACATTTGTCTTTTTAGTGCCCGTTCAATCTTCCCAATTGTTGTAAACAATAAGCTTCGGTTGTAGCTTCCCCTCAATTTTAGTCATTTGTGATGGTCTATTCGAGAAAACTCAGTCAAACTGTATTGAAAAAGTTTCAGAATGGCCAAATCTGCTCTAGCTTAAGGCATAGAATAAGTGTTGGATTTGGTGACGACCAATGACTATTTCAATAATGTGATCGATACCGTTTATCTCCACTCGTCACAAGTAGTTGTGTGTCGTTTAAGAAAGAACCAGTTGCTTGTCTTCACTGCAAAATGCACTAGTGTACCAACTCCACGGTGTTATAGTGGGAGGGAGAGTAGAAGTGGTTGCACACAATTGCCCACTCGATTCAATCCACCGAGAATTTTTAAGTCGAATTAAACAACTAACTGTGTAATGAGATTTTCGGTCATGAGTTCACTGAGGATTTGATCCAAATAGAAGTTTAATAAGGCGTCATAATCCTCTTCATCAGTAAAGCGAGAGGTCGTTCTGAGTTCGGAACATAACTGCAAATCCTATTGTTCTACCTAAAACTTTAAACCAAAATTTCCATCCGTGAACTGTGAACACTTCACCATACTTACATGAGCAACATTGGAGTCGTTCAAGCTTACAACGTCTGTCTGACGTATTCTCTCTATTTTGTCTCTTTCACTACTTTGAAACATATTACTCATATCAAAATTTTATCAATTTCAAAATCGTTTTTTACGATGTCCGGACACCAACCAGCCTCAAATCAATACTTACAAGTATCAAGCAAGAGTCGAAGAGAGTAGCTTGCAATGTCTGTCTGACTTATTCCAAATCTATTCTATCCTTTGCATTACATTGAAGTGTGCTGCTCATACTAATGTTGAAAATTGTGCTTTCTGATGAAAAAACTTCTAAATAGAAGTTTAATACGTCGTCATCGTCCTCTTCCTCAGTAAAGCGAGAAGTCGTTCTGAGTTCGAAACATCATATGAATTCATATTTTTCGATTTTTGCAATAGTTGAATCGAACTTTCTACCAACACTAGCAAAATATGTAAATAAGATTCAAGTTGTTAATGTTGTTAATTGCATTATTGTCTAAAATTACTCACAGTTTGTTGTAAAATCGAGATTTCAAATCTATGGAATTGAAATTTCTCCATTTAAGTACACTTAAAACTAAACTAAAAATTAAATAATGTTAAATTTGTTTATTCTCTCAAATGTACATATTCGCATTTTTGATCTCTTCACCCTTACCGTTTGCTTGAATCTCAGTTATCTAATACCACGTGGTCCACCCTGAGCAACGTATACTCATACGGCAAAAAAGTCTATTAACCGGCAGTTGACTTCTGACTTCAAACTACCACGACCCGCCTGGTTGTCATATTCGACCCCTTTCACTTTACTCACCTAACCTTTTTCTCTACCCTTGTGTCTGTCTGCCTCTTTTACATCTGTGAATCACTCTTCTCTTCCCCACCCCTCGACTTTCGGCTACTTTGATGAACCTTCCCTCTGTGAAGCCCAAAGTCAGCTAAAGGGCTAATGATAAGTGTCATAAAGCCCGCCATTTGACATAAATAAATATTGACTGCTTTCACAGTAATTTAAAAAAATTGGTGATAATTTAAACAGTTGGTGTTATTTAATATTTCGTGTCCATATTGGAACTATTTTTTGAGCAATCACGTTGTTAAGCAAATATTCAACCTAATAAAAGATATTTTTGGACATGTTTCACCATCTGTTAATGCTAATGAGTGCCCCATGTAAACTATATAAAGAGAGTTCATTTGGACGGATGAACCAATTTTTTTTCGCCAGAGCAATCACACCTACCAGCCAAATGCGTCCTCTTCTCAGTGTTTTTCTCTTCATCTTCTCGGTAAATTAATCTTAGCTAGCTATGTTTTTTTTAAAAATTGTTGAAACTATGCAGTTTACACAACATCTGCAATTTTAAGTTGTCTCACCATTGTTGTGGCAGATATTGTAAAGACCGAAGTTTTTTGTTTGATTTGAACCTTCTTGTCCTATTTCATTAGGCCTTGGTGCTTGCGTCCACTGCTACTCCACTGCCTGAAGAGCCTGAATCCGAGTACATGAAGCGCTACTTTGACCCGATCAAATTCATGGGAGGTATAATGATGTTTACAACTTACTCGAATTAAGTAGTCTCTATTCCATTTATTAGCACTAATTCGTATGGCCGTTTAGACTCTAAGAAGAAGTCAAATTGCAATGCTTTAATTTCACTCTAAAAGTTGATATTTTGCAAAAAAAGATAGAACAACAAGTCAATATTTCCTGGCAATTATTAATTTTGCTATTTACTTTAGATCCTCGTCTCATGAAAAAGTACTTCGACCCAATTAAGTTTATGGGAGGTAAGTTTTCACTCAGAGAATAATTATTTACTCAAATAACCTAGATTTCTTCATATTTGAGAAATTAAGCCGAATTATTTTTTTTATTTTCAAAGTTTGAATATATTCCGAGCCTGTATTAACTGTTCCTCTAAGAATTATTTTTTATTAAATATATGTGTGCTATTAACTAAAAATTAAATCCAAGTTTAAACTAAATAAGTGAGTTTACTTAAACTTGCCTGATTGATAGTAAATGCTTCGATACAGTCAATTTCATGGAGTGTAATGGACAACCTGATCACCAAGTCATTTTAAAACTGAGCACCCTAAATCATTTCAACGTTACTGCTTTTTTATAATTACTACAATTTCGCTTTCAGTACATCTTAATAAACTACTGAATTATTTTTGGACATTCTATATGAAAAATTGTAAATTTGAAATTTAATTCAGCAAAGTGCCAAATTTGTATTAATTCAATGCGCACTTCTATCTTTCAGACCCTCGTCTCATTAAGAAATACTTCGATCCAATTCTCTTCTCCAATCCGACATTGTAATCATCGAGGCCACTTTACCTTCTATTTATTCCTAAAGTATATCAATTAAATAAATGAATTGACGACAGACCAACTTTCTTTTCTAGAAGACACTGTGTTCATGGGATTTCTGATAATATGAGCAACATCAGATTGAAATGAATGCAACTAAAATAAGTATTTCATAAACTCTTCGAAGCAATTCATATCCGCTTTGAAGTAATTATTCTAAGAAACTTCCATGCCAATAGAGTATACGCTAATTGAAGTCCTCATTTCCCTAAACAAGGAGACTCAATACTCTGGCTATTGTCTTTTTATATGATTTTACTCGCCAGCACTTTTTAAGAACTGTAGTCTCCCTATCAAGGCACGAAGTAACATCATAGCTTATTCATCTTTAAGTTGAATCTTGCTTGAAGTAGGGATTTTTCTAATGGAGGTAGTAAGGGCCTCTCCTTTGAACTTCTTTGGCACGTACATACTTCAATGCCGTATTGATTGTGCTATGGTGTCTAACCAACTGTGCGCAATAAAAAATGCTTTATTACAGATGTGAGAAGATGAAATTGAACTAAGTGAATGTCTTGCAAATAAAGGCATTTGGAAAGCCTATGGATCCTCACTTAATTGACACGGGTCATTTTGTGATCTTGCAAACTTCATGCTTTTTGAAGTCCCAGTCTGCATAGAGCGCCCCAATTAATTCCACAAAAGGTAGTGACTTATTTTTCATTTATTTGAAGCACAATCACAAGCTTAGGCTATTGGAGTAGTTAAACAATTGCCTACAGGAGCTTATACTGCAGGTCAATAGCACCAAACGCGCCGAATTGACCTACTTCTTTAGGAGTTCTGGTTGCTTAGTCTAGGTCTACTGTCAAGAGGGCGAAAAGGCTTCACGCTAGTTCTTCACTTTAACTACTTTCAGCATTTCATAAAAGCTTTATGATGAGATAGAGAAAAGCGTCTGCAAGCATCAAAGTTTCCAGTAAGTTGTGTTATGTGATATTTTCCTCAAGTGCCTTTTCTTACTTACAACTTTGTTTTAATTTTCCATTTGGCACATTTACGATTTTGTGATCTGGCAGATGATGGAATTAGTGAGCCTGAAAAGTACCCTAGGGGAAAATAGTTTCGCGTTCCCCATCGGCTTCTCTTAAGAGGAATATTCGAATTGGATTACGAAATCAAATAAATATCACCCACTTATTTCAAACATCTCAATATTCTACGAATATATATATATATATTTCAAATGGCAGGCATTTTGATAACAATCATTAGCCATTTAGCTGACTTCGGGCTTCATAGGGGGAAGGAATATCGAAGTAGAAGAAAGACGAGGGATGGGGAACAGAAGAGCGATTCACAGATGTAAAAGAGGCAGACAGACACAAAGGTAGAGACAAAGGTAAGATGAGCACTGTGAAAGGGGTCGAACATGACATACAGTGAGGTCATGGCAGTTTGAAGTCAGAAGTCAACCGCCGGTTAATAGACTTTTTTTCCGTATGAGTATGCGTTGCCCAGGGTGCACCACGTGGAGGCAAGTCTATCGCACACCCCCCTACGAATATATATATATATATATATATATATATATACTAGTTTCCTTTACAGATATCAACACCATAGTTCTTTAACCGCGTAGTCGTCCACAATGCTTCAAGAGACTGTCCTTGATTTATTTTAAAAGTCTTAAGTCTTAAAGTCGAATTACCCCATCCTTCCAATTAGCGATTTAATTATGATAGTTGGTCTATTCTAAAAGGTTGGATTTCCAAAATAAAATTCCAGCAGAGTAGGGAAACGAAGCTGCAAACCATGATTATTGAATCCTGAATTAAATAAGCTCAAACTGGGATTTTTCAGTTGAAATACGATATTCCTAGAGGCTAACACTTATTGGTACACATGGGAAAAGACACATTCTACTAAAATGATTCCACCTCATATTTCCAATACATCCTCAATAAAATTAAAGTTGAGAGAAGATAGATGACAGTTATCAAGGGAAGAGATTTACTTAACAGTTCTCAGTTCTATGTATAAGGTTATTCCAGCTGATAAGAAAAATAATTTCATAAAAGAAAGTCGTTTCAGCATAAAATTGAAGTAAACATAAAGGAAATGTTAGTGTGTTCAGAGAAAAATATCGGATAACTTGTCTGTTTCCAGTTTCTTTTCGGCACGCACAAGAATTTATTGTAATTTTGATTTCTGTACAGACATCATAAAGCGAACGCGCGTGGAAGTTTTTTCATCAGAAAGCACAATTTTCAACATTAGTATGAGCAGCACACTTCAATGTAATGCAAAGGATAGAATAGATTTGGAATAAGTCAGACAGACATTGCAAGCTACTCTCTTCGACACTTGCTTGATACTTGTAAGTATTGATTTGAGGCTGGTTGGTGTCCGGACATCGTAAAAAACGATTTTGAAATTGATAAAATTTTGATATGAGTAATATGTTTCAAAGTAGTGAAAGAGACAAAATAGAGAGAATACGTCAGACAGACGTTGTAAGCTTGAACGACTCCAATGTTGCTCATGTAAGTATGGTGAAGTGTTCACAGTTCACGGATGTAAATTTGGTTTAAAGTTTTAGATAGGACAATAGGATTTGCAATGAAGTTCGAACTCTGAACGACTTCTCGCTTTATTGATGAAGAGGATGATGATTTCGTAACAAAAACCTGTTTGAATCAAATCCTCAGTGAACTCATGAACGAAAATCGCATGGGAGAGTTAGTTTTTAATTCGACTTAAAAATTCTCGGTGGATTGAATCGAGTGGGCAATTGTGTGCAACCACTTCTACTCTCCATCCCCCTATAACACCGTGGAGTTGGTACACTAGTGCATTTTGCAGTGAAGACAAGCAACTGGTTC